GTTCACCAGAGAGTTACAGACACTATGTTGTTATCTCCTCTTTAAAACCAAATATCCCTTAATGAGGAATGCCAGCAGTTAATAGTTATGGTTTTCAAACACGTAACTCTCCGATATTAGCCAGGACGCTTAACCAGCTCATATTCTGTTCCACAAAGTATATAAATAGAAAGCGCTACTCAGGAAGACCCCTCGATATTATCCCATCTTTGCAACTTTCACCCTCTTTTAGAAGGAAGCAGAATAAGAAGTCTTAACCAAGTTATTAGACTCCTGACTCAACATGAAGTCTTAAATAAACGAGTTCTTTTCCTATCATAAAGTTCTCCAAAAGGATCGTCCTTGTGCTTAGTTCCTCCAGCTCCCTTACCTCATTTGACAAAAGTGAAAAGTGATGCTAGGGCTAGAAGTAACCCATCCAGGCCTTTGAAACTGAAGGGGCTATTTGGAATCCCTCTCACCCTAAAGGTCTCTAACCTGCCTTGGCAGCTGAGGCCAGCCCAGAGTTTGAAAACCAGGTAAGAGGTGGGAAGCCATAACACTCCAAACATGCAAATATACTGTACCTTACTGCCACATTGGAGTGATGTAGACCAGGTTTCAAAGTCAAGCTTTTCTTTCAACAGGTACTTATTGAATAGGACAATGAATAGACAGATAAAGTCTATGCCCTGTTTGAACATATATCCTGGCTCTATCACTTACTACCCAGATATCCTTGAGCAAGTCACTTGAGCCTCCTGTCCTTATTTACAACATAAAGGGAATGGTATTTATCTTATAGAATTCTTACATGAATAAATTAGAAATTGTATCTATAGCATTTAACAGAGTGCCTGGATTATTAGAAATCTCTCAACCAATGGTTATTTCCATTATATTACCCCATGATCTTAGAGGTATAGCAAGACAGTTTTTGCATTGGTCATTAATTCTCTGCAGTAATGCCAAAGGATAGGAAAGTAAATTTAAAGATCCCAATCCAGACTTCTTCTGATTTCACCATCATCTGCTTATAAATGTCCTGGCTTTATTTCCAATTCATTTCCTATGGCTTTTTATGCATATTAAGCACAGTATTGGGTAAACACTGAGCAGAAGAGAAAATCTATGATTCTAACATGTGCTATTTGAGCTTCTTTGTGTGGATTTGTGTTGCTGTACTTTCGTTTGTGGAGTGGAGGTAGATTATTTATAGTCCAGACTCGGTTTCACAGTAATAAACATATATATTATAAATGCCCTGCTCTTTCCTGTTACCTTATCAATCGTAAGAAATTTTCATGAATGGTAGCTAACACTTCCATAGCCCAGCTTCTCCATCTAGTGGCCAGGGAGTAAAACTGAAGGTTGAAATGTAGGGAGCAATACCCAGTCTTTCCTTAAATTACAATGGGCAAATTGATTTTCAACTCTCACCCTGCTATGGTCACTCTCTGGACTCAAGGATGCCTCGAGACAACATTGGAACTAATTAAGCCATCCATGAGGCCATGGCAAGGCTGTGTCTGCTCAAGCTGCCCCACCCAGGGTCTAGGATACCTTAATTCATACCGGTGAGGAGTCAATACCCACTATGAGCGTGGTGACTCAACTCCTGTAGTGCTAGGAGTACACTCTGGGAGGCTAAGGCAGGAGGATCACTTGAGGTCAGGAGTTCAAGACCAGCCTGAGCAAGAGCAAGACCCCTGTCTCTACCGAAAACAGAAAAAAATTAGCCAGGCGTGGTGGCACATGCCTATAGTCCTAGTTACTCAAGAGGCTGAAGCAGGAGTATCACTTAAGCAGAGGATTTTGAGGTTGCGGTGAGCTGTGATGATGCCGCTGCACTCTAGCCCAGCTACAGAGTGAGACTCTGACAAGAAAAAAAAAAAAAGCCCTACTCACTGGCTGAGCACTCTTGTTCATTTTTTCTCTTTTCCACAATGCTGAGACACTCTGGTCTCCTGCTGCTGGCCTTTAAGTAGTACAAAAGGTACTGAGCCCACAGAGGAGCAGGGACTTTTACATTGGATTGATATTTTTTCATTTTTTTCTAAAGACAATGGGGAAGAGAAAAGTTACTTACAACACTATATCAAGAATACCTCAGTCTCTCTATTTCTCTCTCTCTCTCTCTCTCTCTCTCTCTCTCTCTCTCTCACACACACACACACACACACACACTTTTACATTGGATTGATATTTTTTCATTTTTTTCTAAAGACAATGGGGAAGAGAAAAGTTACTTACAACACTATATCAAGAATACTTCAGTCTCTCTATTTCTCTCTCTCTCTCTCTCTCTCTCTCACACACACACACACACACACACACACACCACTTTCTTCACACATAAAATAGGAGACTATTGGTTGTTGTCTCAGATTTTCTATGCACAGAAAAGAAGCATTAGATAAGTTGGAAGACAATTCCTAAGTGATCCAGGCTGGGAAATGAAGTGATTTTGAAAGAGGAGAATGGAGAAATAGACTAGGGTAGTCCCAGATTTCTTACATCTCTATGCAGTGGACACCCCTAATTTTTAATATAAGCTTCATTAAGAATTTTCACTTATTTCACTGCTTCATCTAATTCATTGAAAGAGGGTTTTCCCGAATTTCAGATATTCTGAAAATAAGAAAATCTGCCACCCTTAAGGCACTGAATAGTTGATCTTTCCTAGAGTCAAATTACCTGAGGGATTAATGAAAAGTTTAGTGGAGCTACCATTAGGGAAACAGAATTATAAACAAAATCTCCTGCCATTCCAGAAAAGCTCTTCACAAAAGTAGAGGAGAAAGAAAACACTTTTATTTTTGAATAAACGTTAAACCAGAATGTAAGGTGCATCACAGGCAATCCCCTGAAGAGATCACAAAAGCAGAAAGAAGTCTTGCCCTTTGATATAGCCAATCAGATATAATCCATTGTACACGTTCAAGATAAACAATGACTAGTCCTCAAATAAGAGGAGTTGACGGCACCATCCGTCACTTACAGTTCATCCAAAATTGTTTCGAGAGTGTGTTTGCTAATTGCCTTTGAAAGAAAAAATAAATTTCTGCTTTCATTTTGATTGAAAGTAGATTTGTTAACTGAAGTTAGGCCCCTCTACTACCAGGAAAACTGGGAGATAGGGGCACTGTCTTCCTTGATGATTACCTTTCAAAGAGATGGCTTCCAGGTCCTGGAGGAAATATCCCTGCATTGCAATTTGCCTTTAAAGAGATTTACATGCATTTCAAAGAGGTAGAGGAAAAGCTTAAATGTTTTCTAAAGTAAATGCTTTAAGAAAAGGGAGGGAGGAAGTTTATTTTCAATAGCAAGAATTAGACCTCTTATTTTTAGTTTGTATTTGTCCTTATAGTATTAAAATATTATAAATAATAATATATCTTGCTTCCATGCATCAAGCCCTCCTGGATTAGTAAAACCCTCCTTTCTCTGACAGGCCCTTTTCACTCCAGAATACTTTCTTCTGGAAAGCATTCCAGAATGCAATTTCGAGGCAGGGATTGTTCACCTCTCTACCATTTTAAATAAAGTGTTCCTGGAAATCCCTCACAGAGGCAGACTGATGTCTGCAGAGCAGCTACGAGGACAAATACGATGCGGGATGGGTCTGGTGTTCCACAACCAGCCCCCCAGTTTCTCTAAACCTGTTTCTTCTCAGCCCACTCCCCATCCCGCTCCTGCCTGTTTTCAGTACGACCTCTATGTTATTCAAGGACAAGCAATAAAGTATTTCACACTTTGTTTTATTTTATTTCAAGGAACTCTATGAAAGCACACCTGTATCCACTTTGTCACCACTGAACCCTCGGTGCCCAGCACTTATTGAAGTATATGTTGAGATACAATTTACATAAAGTAAAATGCACCCTCGTTAGTATACAGTTCTATGGATTATGAAAAATGCATACGTCATGTAGCCACAATCACAATTGAGATAAAGATCAACAACAAAAATATTCCCTTCTGTCCTTTAAATGTCAACCCCTCCCCTACCCCTTGCTCCTGGCAAACACTAATGTGTTTTCTGTTCCTATGGTTTTATCTTGTCCTGAATGTCCCAAAAGGTGGGCTTAAAGTCCAGCTTCTTTCACTTGGCATAGTGCATGTGAGACTGACCCAAGCTGTTGCATATATTAGTAGCTCATTCCTTTTCATTGCTGGCTAGTATTCCATTGCATGAATGTAACATAGTTTGGTTAGCGTTCACTCATTGAAGATCATTTGGGCTATTTTTAGGATTTTTTTCTTTTTGTCAATTATGAGTAAAGCAGGTAAAAAATGTGTACTCATGCTTTTAGAGGACATAAGTTTCACTTGGGTAAATACCTAGGAGTGGAATTGCTGGGATGTAGGATAAGTCTACGTTTAACTTGGTAAGAAACTGCCATGCTGTTTTCCAAAAAGGCTATATCATTTGGCATTCTCACCAGCGATGCGTGAGACTTCCAGTTGTTCTGTATCCCTTACCAGGACTTGATATTGTCAGTTCTTGGTTTTATTTTCAATGTTAGCCATTGTAATAAGCATGTAAATGTGTTGCATTGTGGTCTAATGACTATGATGTTGAGCATGTTCTCCTGTATTTGCCATCTGTATAGTTTCTTTGATGAAGTGTCTGTTCAAATATTTTGCCCATTTTGTTATTTCGTGTTTGTTTACTCTCAAATGAGTTTTTTATACTATATTTTCTACTGGGTCTGTGGCTTGACTCTTTGTTTTATTTATTTATTTTGACTGGTCAAGTGAAGCAGTGGGGGTGGAGAAGGAACAATCGACTCTTTGTTTTAACCTTTTATTTTTTAAAAAACAAAGTTTCCCCCTCTGACCAGTGATTTAATAAATGTTAAGTATCTGAAATGGAAAAACTCCCACAGCCCGTCTATACTTGCAGGCCTGGGGTTCCCAGGATGTTCAAAGCTTTCATTGACCTACAGCTTCTGGTTTCGGCCAACAGTCTGGTTCATTCCGACTCTGACATTTTAGGGCGTTCTGCACGTGTGTGCCTGTAACTCCCCTCCCCCAGCCTCTTCCTTCCCTCTGCAGAGATGCCCTTCTCCTTTCAGCTCTCTCTGCACAGGTGGCCAGAGCCACACAGCCCGTCTTTAAGTCAGGACTGCTCTGTCAGAGCACAAGGCAGGCCAGAGGGAAGTGGTAAAGGGACGGAGGAGAAGGCTCCTTTCCATCACCGAGAGGATGGGAAACTCTCTGCCGAGGGAGAACAGGTGAGTCCAGACTCCCTGCAGGGGAGCAAGGGAGTTGGGACAGGGCAATGCAGCCAGAAGGACAAAAACTGCTCTTGGGGACCAAGTGAATTAGGTTAAGGAACCTGCCACAGTGCCTACTATGTGTCCAACATCGCACTAAATTTCTTATAGGTTTTGACTTCTCCCGAGAAGCACAGTGAGTAGCTGGAGGAGAATAGCTGAGGGGTGGAAAGACTTTACCAAGGGAGGGTTATGTAACAGGCGACCAGTTAGACATGGAACAACAGGTCCTGAGAAAGGGATACTCTCCTGAGCTCTTCATGCTCCACAAGGAGGTCAAAGACACCACCACCCTTTCAGTCACTACTTTAAGTTCAAAGTAAACAGCAAGCTTCCTGTCACCAGGAGGCTTCATTTGATGAGGACTCAGTGCAAGCAGGTAGGCAGAGGTCATCTCAATAGGTAGAGAACTTGGCTTTTAAGTTTTCTGGACTTATTTTCATCATTTGAAGTGAAATCATAATAATACAATACCTACCTTAGAGGGTTCTAGTGTGCATGGTGCTAACATAATGCCTGACACAAAGTAGGGCTCAATAATTAGAAGATAATTTCATTTTTTGGACCATCACCTTCATTAACATCAAAGCAGCCATTGTAAAATTTAATACCACCAAAAACAAAGGTATAAAATGAGGTCGTCTAGGGACAGTAAGCTGTCCAGAGAAGTTTTTACATGATTTTGTTTGGTGTCCCAGCTCCCAGTTCATGTCACTGGAGAGTGGAACACAGGAAAAGGAGGTGACCCACTTTGGGCCACTTGCCAAAAGGAGGCTTGTTGATGCTATGGAGACCTTCATGTCCCTTCCTGAGAATAGCATTGTCTGAGACTTCTCCTCCCTGTGTCTTCAAACCCTTTGTCAGTCCTCTACTTTACATTCTTCTATCAGATTATAAATCACTATTTTTATATCTAGTTATGAGCTCCTCAAATGTAGAGATTGTTTCTTATTCATCTTTGAATTCCTGGTTCCTGGCATTGTTTCTGGTACATAGCAGGCACTCGGTTAGTGTTAGATGAACGATTGGAAAAAAAAAAACAAAATATAGAAAGGATGAGAATGAGAAAGTAGTGATTAATGTCACATATGTAAATTTGTGTTTTAGATCTGGTGTGGGGGTGAAGGATTATGACATAAATATGTATTCGTTATAAAAAATAGAAAATAGAGAAAGTATAAATAAGAAATAATGAAGTGGCAATTGCATTTACAACTACTGATAACATTGAATGCATTATCTTCATTTAATTTCTGTATTCATTAGTCATTTGTATTTCCTCATCTGTGAAAACCCAATAATGTTTTTTGCCCGTGTTTGTTTTGGATTTTGGTCTATTTTGTTTTAGTGATAGTAAAAGCTTTTTGTACTTTGGAGAAATTAGTCCTTTCTCATAAATATTGCAAAAAAAATATTTTTCCAAGGCACACGTGTCTTGCACCATTCTGACTTTTTATGGTTTTATGTTTATTATGTTTAAATGATAACTGAATTAAATCTAGAAAGCTTTTTAGTTCTTGCCATTGCATTATGCTTAAAATCCTTTCCCCGCTCCAAGATAAGACAAATCCACACATATAATTTTTTGTGATTTTATTGTTTTACATTTGACCACATACATTTAATGTATGGTGTGACATATAATATTTTTTTCCAAATAGTTGATAAATTGGCCGAGCATCTTCATTTCTATGATGATTTAAAATGTCTCACTTAATATATTAAAGGATCTGATTTTTCCACTTCATCCCTACGACCCAGTTATCATCCAATCAGCACACCCCTCACCATGTCCCTCCAGATCAAATTTATTAGAAAAGCTGGGGAAATTTCCCATTGAATAGAATGGCAACTACTCCTTCATGAGAGGAGCTCAGAGCCTCAGAGGAAGGAATCTGCCAGAAGCAAACCCAGCCTCTCCTCTTACTGGCTGTGGATCCTCAGACAAGTTGGCTGATACTTTTGGTATCAATTTTCTCATTGGTTAGAAAAAAAATAGGATGATATCTACCTCAGGGATTGATTCTAGGATTAAACAAAATATAATTCATAAAATGACTAGGATATAGTAAGTAGTATGTAAGTGCTAGTTTCTTTATCTTCATACCCCCAACTCCCTGCAAATGAAAAGTTGAGTATGCAGAAATCCAACACAAGCAATGAGCCAATTTATTTTCTTTATTTAATCCTTTTCTTCCCCTTTCACCCATGTTCTCTGCATCGGTGCTTTCTGTGAAAGATGGAAATTTACATGAGACAGGGCCAGTACCCCTCCCCATTGCTGTGTATAGTTCTTGCAACTGCACCAAACAGATAATGATAGTTAAGGAGGCCTCTGTCTGGACACTGGTATTCTCACAGTCATGATGAGAATACCTGGACATTTGGGAGCAGTTGATTTAGGATTAGTTGTGCATACAGTTGTTGGAGAAAATCAGTGCGCTGTTGTGTCAGTGGAGAGAACGTCAGATCTAAGGAGGTTGTGGCACATGTTTGAGGAAGAAATATTAACAGGTGTAAGGGCAACCAGGGAGAAGGTAATAGCAGAAATGAGGAAAGCTGGAAAAATTATGAAAAGAAGCAAGAAGCCTGGAAAGGAAATACCTAGCCCATTTCTGATATGTTGAGTTTTAGGTGGCAGCGAGACACTCAAGAGATGCCTTGGAATCTGAGACTTCAAAACGCCAAGCAGAGAACATCCAGGTGAGAGCAAATTCAACCAGACTCCTCCCAGCCTTTGCCCAGGAAGAATAAAGTATGTCAGGTCCTGGACTTCACATCCCCGTGACAGAGGGCCCTGCCTAGACCCAGCATCGGTTGTAATGGCAGCAACCGATGAAGACAAAATGGCTTTGAAACTTTAAACAGCAGATGTGCTACTTTGCTAGGAGCCTAATATAACCCCTAGCAACAGAAAATAGACCCTGTTAGTGCCTGTTATGCCCTGTTATAAAATAAGGGGTCTTATTTCCTATTGTCTCTTTGTTTGCCAATCTCAAGTACCTTTGTGCTCAAGCTCTATCCTAGCCATTTTATTTTAACTCTAGTTTTCTGTTTCTGAAGTGACCACAACCCCGATGTCACAACAATTGTTGGAAGGTTTGTGGAGAGACCCTCGTGATTACTGCGATGCTATTCAATCAAGATGGCCCCATCAATCCTTTCTCATCAGGCCTTTTGAGTCCTTGGCCCTAAAGAATTCTCTCTAAGAAAGAGAATCTCTAAAATATGGAGTTAGCATCCCAGGGTCCAAGAATCCCAAAGGGTGGCAAAGCCATTTGTTCTGTGGCCTGTGGAGTTGCTTTTCACATGATTTTGAGAGGAGCTTTTGAAGGAGTAGCAACTAAAAAACAACCACTGTTGCTATTGTTTAACACCAAGGCCCACGTTAGGGGATGGGGACCCAGAGATGCCCCCAACAGTGTACATTTCTTCAGTGCAAGCTGAGAATCATATATGGGGTGGGGGGCGGTAATTGTACATATGTTAAAGCAGTCCAAATAATGAAATAGATCAGAAGGGCCATGGGCATAACAAGAAAGAGGTGGTCCAGGGAGCCGGGGAAGTCTTGGTGAAAGAGACAGAAACCTGGAATTGCTGGCGTGTAGCCTAAAGTTACAGAGATGTGTCTGACCTGCTTCATGGAGGTTGTCTGAACACATCCCAAACCAAAATATCCATATTGAAATGGAAGAATAAATTGCAGAAAAGTTGAGAAAGAGAAAGACTCAGTTTACAAATAGCTGTTGTCCATATTTAACTTTATCTCTTCCTTACAATTCCATGAGGTAAGCAGCATAGTATCCTCATTTTATAGATTAGAAAACTGTGGCTCAAGGAATTCAGAGATATTGATCCAATAAATCAAAATCAACCATCTCCTTTCATCTCACTCTCGTATCTCCTCAATGAATCTGGTTTCTTAGCATTGGTGTGATTAGGTAGTTTCCTTAGGATGTTTCTTTAGCAACAAAGGAATAGATGTAAGCAAATGGTTTAAAGAGCACTGAAGGTAGCCTGAAGAAGAGGAAGAGCTGCGGCTGGGCCCCGTGGCCCCAAAGGCTCTGATGACGCACCTACCCTAGAGGTGGTTAGAACACGCAGCAAAGCTGGTGACCACACCCAAGGTCACCATACAGTCAGCCTCTCCTCCACTGCCCCTTCTGAGGGAAATCCATGTGAAAGCTCACTACGGGAGACATTTTTGCATGATGTTTTCCAAATGTTTTTACATACTATGACTGTTACCAGTACCTTGATTTCCTGGAGATAAAGGGCTTCTACATTCAACCATGTAGGTAGTTGACTGTGGCTCAAACAGAAAAATACACAGAATGATACTTTGACTTTAACCTAGATGTCTGACTGCAGACAGATTCTAAGCCTTTCTGCCATAAAAAATATAAGTCCTGTTATTTAGCTATACCACTGGAGTCAAGGTGATAGATTTAATGATCTCCTGTACCAGTTAGAGTTGCTCTGTTCTTGGTTATTCATTCTTTATTCATATCTTCATGAAATATTTATTGAAAAAATATTTACTGTGTGTCAGGCATTGTGGCATAGGCTGGTGATGCATACCATGATAAACAAGATAAATATGGGTCCCAACTTAAGAAGCTCACGTTCTAGTGTAGGATATAGAGGAGTGAGCAGACAATTACAATATAGTGTAAATTGGAGGAAATTCAGAGTGAAGCGGAATCCTATACAGATATTTACTAAACCATATCTGAAAAAAAGAATTTTTTATTTATTTGGTTTTTTTTCTGGAGACAGAGTCTCACTCTGTTGCCCAGGCTAGAGGCTAGAGTGCAGTGACGTCATCATGGCTCACTGCAACCTCAAACTCCTGGGCTCCAGCGATCCTCCTGCATCATCTTCCCAAGTAGAGGAGGCTGGGACTACAGGCCAGTGCCACCATGCCAAGCTAATTTTTTTCCTCTTTATAGAGATGGGAGGCGTCTCACTACCTTGCTCAGGCTGGTCTTAAACTCGTGGCCTCAAGCGATCCTCCCACCTCCCAAAGTTCTGGGATTACAGGTGTGAGCCACTGCACCCAGCCTAAAAAAAAATGATTTCAATAATGTCCACACACTTGTATCTTGTACCTTGATTTCCTGGAGATAATTTTTTTTTTTTTTGGGGAGATAACTCTTACGTGGTCTTCATCAAAAGTAAATGCCTATAATTGAGGATGAGAAAATTTGTCCCTTTGCTGGGAATGCAACAGAAAGTTTTTTTCCCTGATTAGGAATTGATAGTGTCATCTTCATCCTAGAAGGAAAAAGGCAGTCTATCATGAGAGATGTGTCTAAGTCACCTAGGATCAGTACTGTCTTGGGAAAAAAAAAAGCTACAGAAATCATTCTGTGATTTGCGTCATTTCTCTTGGGTATTTTAGGTGCTGGGATTGCCAAATCGCTGAAGGGTGTTTCTGCCTTCCATGGTGAGTGGAGATCTGTTTTTAGGTGTTATTTCCCTAAATGTGGTTTCAATGTGGTATTTGCTGTACGTTACCTGTGAACTCCCTGCTGTCTGTGACCATAGCGAAAGCCTGTCATTAGCCCAGACACAATCACCTGAGAGTCGATCGGGGAAGCAACCCTTCACGTTTGGTAAGAAACAGGAACAGTAGCTCATGGGTGGTATCCTCTCCTCAAACAGGAAAGCCTCAGAGGCAAGGATGAAACTAGTGACTAACATAGAGAAAGACTCCTTTCTATACTGCAAATCCCAGAGTCTCCATGTACAGAAGCACACATTTCTGTCTCTTGCAGAGATAATTCACAGTCAGGGTGATCATATAATATAACATCCAAACTGGGGTATCTTTGAGAGTGAAAAGGATGCTAAAAATAGTTAATGGTCACTAAGTAATTGATAATGACATTAACCAGACTGAACAAACCAGGGCATATGGTCATCTGCCGTACAGCAGATGTTGTCCCTGTTTCCTGAGATGACAATGGGCTTCCATTATACTAATATTTATACTGCATTTTTCTAGGGGATCTTTTATACTGTGTGCTCTATGGGAGGAGTTTGTTTGGTTATTTGGGAGATCATAGATTAGAATTGGATTAGAAATAACCCTGGCTCCTTCACTCTTATGATATAAAAGAAACTGCTACTTTGTCATAAAAAAAATTCTCCAAAAAAAGCAATGTATAATATCACCATAGTTTCTTATCTATAAAACAATTCTCTATCAGATTTAGAAAAGGGAGAGGGGAGGAAAGAAAAAAAGAGAGACAGAAAGAAACACAAAGAATGTGTTTCTACTTGGCCTCATCTTTCATTTTCTATTTTTTTTATCTAATTTGTTTATGCTGAAGGAGGTATTATAAAAGTCGTATAACTTTAACAGATTAAAGAGTTAAAAATAAGTTTATAGGTTTATATGGTTTCCTTTGAGAGCTTCTGAATATTAAAACCACCAACTTATCTTCTTTTACAGGAAAAAAATACACATTTTTAAAGAGAGACAAGATTCCCAAAAGGAAAGTAAGTCATCGCTTTTTTATCATTTTCACTTTTGGTAAACTTACATTTCCAAACCGCCCCTTCTCTATGCTCCCAAAGCCCTTTGGGCATATTTCTAGTATAATACTCTCACATTTTGCTACAATCTGTCCAACTGCGTGTTTTTCCCTACTAGATTGTGAGGTCCCAGAAGCAGGGGTTGGCTCATTCATCTCCACATTCCTCAGTCAGTGCCTGAGGTCTGGAGGTTGGAGGAGCTAACTGGGGACAGTCAACGCAACAGGTGGAGGCAAAAGGCATCATAGGGAGAGCACAGGGGAGGGGAGGGGTCTTGTGGCCAAGGTAAAGATTTGCATCTTTGTCTCGAGAGCTACAGGAGGTACTGAAGGGCTTTACACGGGGGCAAGTATGATCAGATTTGCATTAAAGAGATCTCCTCGGCTGCTCTGTGGAGAACAAATTGTGGCAAAGAATGACAAGAGCAAATGCCAGAAAACCACTTAGGAGGCTGGTGCAGTGGTCCCTGGTGACAGAACAGTGTTGAAGTTAAGGAGAGAGAAGAATTTAAGGAGAGGATGGTGAATAGTATCACAAGTAAGAGAAAAAAATAAGAAAGTGTAGGCCTGAGGAAAGGGCATTGTATTTTTGAAGAAGAAAAACAGAGGAGTTTTGACTCTGCCTTCCTGAGTTCAGAGCCCAGTTCATTCGCTGAATCTTGAAAGCTAGCCCTGTAAGGTGTGTAAATGAATAATATAGACCTGCCACCCCCAGCCATGTCACCCTGGGGAATGGTGGGTCCCAGGGAACCCCAATCTCCACCAGAGCAACACATGGTAGAAATAAAACCGGATGTTAAAACTCACAGATGCTTTTCTTATAATGATAATTAGCAAAGTCCTGATGCCCATAGAGGTTTATGGAGATGTGGGAATCCGGGATGTCACTGTGGAAGGAATGTCAATCCATGCAGCATACGGTGGCCTCCAGTGGGTAGCTACAGTGGGTAGCAAGTGTGTCCACTTCTGTCTTTGCTGAATGGCCAGAGCCAGTTGGTTTTAAGTGAATCGGCTTTGGAAAAATTGGCCTGCTCGTGTTTGTATCTGCCAGCAGATACAGGAACGGGAATGTTCAGCCTAAGAGTTTTCTCTTCTGCAAAGCTTTCCTTAAGTGCCAGCCCCTACACTCCCACCATCCGCTGTCGCCCATGGTAGAAACGACAGCCTCCTCGCTGCATTGTGGATCTCTCACAACCCCTTGTCTGCCTCCTTTGCTAGCTTCTGAATCTCCTGAGGACAGGGACTGTTTTCTGATTCTTCTTAAGTCTCCCTAGTGCACGGTACAGAGTAAGTATGCAGTGACTTTTGTATAAGGAAGGACGGAGGGTGGAGGGGAAGAGGGAGACAGGAACAAGAATGTGATTTCCTATCCAAAGTCCCACTGAATGTGCCTCCCTCCTCTGCCTCTCACACTAAGCACAGCTCTGGCTGTTTGTTGATTCTCCCCAGGGATGTGCTAGAGATCAGAATAGCCGGATAAGGGCTATGCCAGCTGTGCTCCAGTTCTCTAGTTGCTTATATTCCAGTCTCCCCCTGCCTTCCCTCAAATCTCCCCATAACCTGAAATTCATTGAGTGTATTTTCTCTCTGCAGACGAAAGAATATCATCTGCTCCCATCCAGGTAATAAGAACAGCTCTAAGACATTATCTGAGACAATGGTAGAAGTGCAGGCCCCCCAGATGGCAGGAGAAGTTGGTCTCCCAGACCCCTTCTGATCCTTCCATGGAAGAAAGACTTTGGATGCCAGTGCTTGTGAGCTCAGGTGGCATATGTAGGGCCTGGTGGCAGAAGCGGCGGCCACTTACTTCTGCTGTACAATTATTGAAAGGAACTGACATTTACTGACCACTTTGTTTATAACGGGCAACATACTGAGTGGTTTACATGCGCCCTCTGTGTAATTGTCACAACCACCTCACGAGATTGATACTACTATTCCCCCGCCCCCACCATTTTACAGATGAGAAAACTAAGAGATTTAGTGATATTCCCCCAAAGCCAGGCACTGGACAAGATGGTAGAGCCAGGATTCAAAACTAAGTGTCACTTAAAATCCACGCTCTTTGCCCTACACTTTGCTGCTTTGCTTTTTATCTCCTGAGATTCCATCATGAGTGAAACCTTCCCTTGAGTTGTTTCCCTATTTCATAATGCAAATATCTCTAGACTGGGTGGTTAAATATCATAACCCAAACACATTAAGCTATCATCAGATTGTTCTGTTTTATAAGAATGGGCTGCCCTTAGACTTTGGGAATTGTATGGGTGGTCGGGGTGGCTCTGGAACATGAGGCAGAGGACACGCCTGGGTAGGCTGTGTACTTGGGGCAACATGGGCACTTTGACTCTGTCTTGCCTAGTGGTTGGGGTGGAGACAGCCGTTTAGAAAAAAATGGCCAAGAGCTGGGGATGAAGTGGCCATAGAAGACAAACTTTACCTAGGGTCAGACCTGCATTGGGACTGAAACATAAAGGGAATGACAAGAGGCCAAACTTGATCATGGCTCTCCTTTGACTAGCAGGGCACCTCTGACCAGACCTACACAGAGGAGCTGTGCTACACCCTCATCAATCACGGGGTCCTCCAGAGAAGGCCATCGGGGAACTCCGCTGAGGAGTACTATGAGAACGTTTCTGGCGAGGCTGAGAGGCCCAGAGAGTACTCGGGAGGAACTGAGACCGAGTATTCACTTCTCCATGTGCCTTCCACCCCGAGGCACCCACATTCCCCAGAAGATGTATATGAACTTCTCATGCCTCGGAGCATCTCCTCTCACTTTCTGAAACAGCCACGTCTGCTAACAGCCCCTCCTGAGACTAAGTTTTCCCATTTATAATGCAGCAGTTAGAAGAGCATTTGTTTAACATCAGCAAATAAAAGTTGGGGGTGAGGGTGAGGTGAGGGGGTGCAAATATCCCCCAGTTCACCTCCCACAACAACCCTTTCCCCACAGAGCATGGTTTGCAGACCACAGGGCCTCTTAGATCCTGCGCAAAAGCCAACATCCAAAGACCAAGCAGTTATCCTGAACGCTACTATTTGAGAAAAGAGTGACCGTCTTTGGTTCTAAATGGTTTGGGGTGGAGGGGCTCCATGGTTCTCCTACAGCTGTGCACACCACAGAGGGTTCTTCTCTTCTGTAGGGATCTTCTTATAAAGTGTCCCCATCATTTTTCTCTGAAGTCACAAGGAAGCTTTATTCATTATACCATTATACTACCCAGGGGGGGAGTTCACTCATTACAGCAACCTTCCAGCTCAGCCACATCCCTAATGGGAGCCAGTGGTGTTGCTCTCACTCCATGCGTCTGGGCCACATCCTCCACATAGTGTCCTTTGACTCGTTGGCCTCCGTGGCTTCGTTGGTTATGTGAGTTGAATCAGGAGGTTCCCAGCCAGATTTTTATATAATTTTAACTTACACGATTTTGTTTTTAACTTTGTATTTCTCCCTGGAAATCTTAATAAGACAATCATAGCATCAGAGATTGTTAAAGTAGAAAGATCCTGGGAGATTCTTCAATCCCATTATCCTTTTTTGGCTCAGAGAGGATAATTTGTCCAATGATACATTAAAGTTAGTGGCAAAACTTTATTGAGAGCCTGATTTTCTCCTGGCTTCCAATTCAGTGCTCCTCCAATATACTACATAGAAGACCCTCTATGGTAAATATATGCATTTAATAACATATAAAAATATGAATAAAATGTTCACATGGGAAAAATAACACACACACACCTTCTCTAATGAACACTCTACTATATGCCTTGGTTATTTACTTTTCCTCACCTTTTCTTTGGTGTTCCTAGAATTATATCTGTCTTCTAAACTAGGGGTCAGCAAACTATGGCACTCAGGCCAAATCTGGCCCACCACCTGTTTTTGTAAATAAAGTTATTTTGGAACACAGCCACACTCATTTGTTTACATACTATCTATGGTTGCCCAACCATGGGAGAGTTAAGTAGTTGTGACATAAACAATAGGCCCCACAAAGCCAAAAATATTTACACATTGGCCCTTTCTGGAAAAAAAATTTGCAGTCCTCTGCCCTAAATGATCACAGTTTGGGACAAACTCAACAGAAATGTGTTTGGTTATTGACGCATAAGAGCAGGTACTAATATGACGGTGTAAAAATATTTAAACCACAAATTGGATGAGTGAGACTAAGACGGTTTAGCAAATTCGTCTATTTCTATATTCACACCTGTGTTCTTGACTTGCTGTTTTACTTAACTTAAGCCACTGTCCTAAGTTTAAGGATGTTTAAATAGTAAGAGTTTTGTTGAGACAAACAGTAAATGCATTATGTCTACTGTTTTGTTTTCAAAGTTAACCAAAGCTAAATAACTTTGCCATTTAAAATGTGCTAAGTGCCAAATGGAGATAAATCCAGTTGCTTGAGCGTGAGTGCGTGCGTCACAGGTTTGCTGAGACTTCAGCCAGTCAATGGCCTTCAGTTAGAGAGCCAATCACATCTTGGTATCTTACCCTCTGCTAAGTTTCTACTTAAAGCAAAATTTTTTCCCATGGAACCCGAACTTTGATCCTTGGCCAGGATTCACTCAGGTTCAAAAGGAGCAGTGAATACTGTACAAGATGTAACATGGCTTAGGGGAAAGAGTGTGGACCCCAGAGATAGATAAGCAGTCATTCAAATTCTGGTTCTATCTCTTCCTCCCTCTGTGACTTTGAACCTGTTACTTGGAGGCTCACCTTTTTTGCCCCATAAACAGAAGGATTACATCTAATGTATGCAAATCATCTATCACAGATTCTGAATAAATGATGTCAAAGAGGAGAGAGAAACAAAAATCTTTTTTGATGTACGGAAAAAAACATGCTGATGCATCTGGTGATCCAGGATCACCCAGCAGTCCTCTAGTGAGGCAGAAACACCCAAGCAATGGGGTTATGCTGGGATTTTTCACATGGATATCGGACCATTGTGGAAGTTGGTTGGTCGAAATATTCCTAATACAGTAAGTTATATTTGTTTGAACCTTATCCTGTGAAAGCATCACCTGTCCCAAATAGTATATGCCTTTTATCAGGAACATATTAAGCATAAATACTTAACCAAAGAAATTTGTTCTTATAATAAAGGGATTATGAAATGGAATTATTTTTGAGGAGAGCGATTTGGGAGTGCTTCAAAATACCTACTATAAGGTATACATAGATTTGTCAATCAAAAATATTATTAATAACAAAAAGTTGAGGAAAAAGATTCTACAATATGACTTTAATGTATTTAATGTATAAAAGTCTCAAATTTTCTAGTAAATACATTTTAATGTCAAAAAAATCCACGATGTTGGTATATAATGCTGATCCTGTTTTCCACAGATTTCAGGATTTCTGATGAAAGCTATGTGCCTTCTTTGCAGAAAATGTATATTCTCACACACACACACAAACACCCCATACGCATTTGTGTATGATTTCAAGGGGTTAGGGATACAACCCCTCGGTATAAGAATCCCTCTTCTGGCTGGGTGTGGTGGCTCACGCCTGTAATCCTAGCACTCTGGGAGGCCGAGGCAGGTGGATCGCTCAAGGTCAGGAGTTCGAGACCAGCCTGAGCAAGAATGAGACCCCGTCTCTACTGAAAAAAAAAGAAAGAAATGACCTGGACAACTAAAAATATACATATATAAAATTAGCCAGGCATGGTGGCACATGCCTGTAGTCCCAGCTACTTGGGAGGCTGAGGCAGAAGGATCACTTGAGCCCAAGAGTTTGAGGTTGCTGTGAGCGAGGCTGATGCCATGGCACTCTAGCCCGGGCAACAGAGTAAGACTCTGTCTCAAAAAAAAAAAAAAAGAATCCCTCTTCTTGATAGACAAACTGAAGCTGAGCATCTAAAGTCATCTCTCAAATCACAGATATAATCAGAACAACCCCCTCCACCACGCTGGTCTTAAAACTCTACATAGTCAAAATTCAGAGGCACAATTTATGCAGCAACTGCAGACTCTGTGGTTTCCGTTTTACGTGCATACCAGCGTCTATAAATAACCCCTTATTCTGTGAATAAATTCTTATTGAAAATAGAAGAGAAAAATAGGAAGAGGGCATAGATAGGGCGGGAAAATCTACTGTTGACAACGAGTTCAAATGTTCGTTTTTAGTACAAACTTGGGTGAGAAGTGCTTCAGATATTCTCAGGGACAGACGGTCATAGGCAGAACAGAAAAAGGAGTCTCTAGGACTCCACAGTGGCTTGCAGAGAAAAGGAGATTCTGTTTACATTGATCTGACTCTGTTCTTTTCTAGGCCTACAGCCTCTTAAGCTCAGAAAGCCACTTGATCTAAGTGCACCTGGGTTCTGCCAACTGTTCAATGGGTTTCCTACAGAGGGTTCTTTTGCAAGGTGCTTGGTGAAGCATTGAATGGTCATTATCATCACAGAAAGTCTTCTGCAGTCTGGTGGCCTTCCCTCTCAATTCATCCCTTCCCCTGATCACTTGTGCTCCTTGTGGACTCCCAGATGTCAACCAAGCCTGAAGTGAGCGTGCACCTGGGGCTGCTACCAGGCCATTCATCACGTGTGGTTGCCTAGGAGGCTGGACTTTGCCCCTAACAAACTATGGAGGTCTGGACTAGTCCTTCTAGCTCTCCAGGCCTTGGTTTCCCAACTGTAAGATGGAGGGATGCCTTTTTATGGTAAGTCTATGATCTCTAATCACATAGGAAACATTAAAGAATGTCTGTGGATAAAGCTGCCCACAATGCAGCAACAGTGTTAATTAACTTATTTCAAAGCAACGAAACAGTCATGGGAGAGAAGGGAGGACTTTGATAGGTTTCTCCCATTTTTCTTAGCATTTACCAGATTCTGAATAGGGCAGGAGTCCATGTCCAGAATTCACATCTAAAAGAAAAAGGAGAGACAGAGCCTGGTGGCTCACACCTATAATCCTAGCACTTTGGGAGGCTGAGGCAAGAGGATCACTTGAGGCCTGGAGTTTGAGACCAGCCTGAGCAACATAGTGAGACTTCATCTCTACAAAAAACACAAAAATTAGCTGGGTGTTGTGGTGGCACATGTCTGTAGTCCCAGCCACTGGGGAGGGTGAGACAGGAGGATCACCTGAGCCCAGCCGTTCAAGGCTGCAGTGAGCCATGACCACCCCACTGCATTCCAGCCCCAGCAAACAAAAACATAAAGAAAGGTGAAGCTGCTTATTCAAATCCCACCAGTTCTTCAGGGTTCAGTCAGAGTCCTGTTTCCTACACAAAGCCTTCTCCAATTAAACTATACTGACCACTCTTTCCTCTGACCACCCATACATACCCCTACAGTGTGTCTTTCCTTGTTTTTAACAGGTAGGTATTTTTTTCCCTGCTATTTCCTGTTTCATCTGGGCAGGTCCTGACTCCCTAATAACATTAGCAGCTTCTTTTCTTATTGCTGTCTTCCTCTCCATTGGTATCCTATATAGGTTTCCATAAAACACGTCACTTTTAAAAATCTACAGAAATAAATTAAATTGAAAAGAAAAAAAGGATTGGACACATGGCTAGAATTTTATTGGCAAGGGGACAGAAGTGGGTTCCACTGATCTCCATTCTGTCTGTAACAGAGTAGTCGCCCTCCTCCCGTAGATATGGAAGCAAAATATTGAGAGTGGGGAATACGTATCAGAGGGAATGGCCTGAAAACAAAATGGCAAAAAAATATTTTCTGTTTCTTTGAAACTTCCCCGACTCTCTGAGAACTGAAACCTGCATCCCTGCCTCAGGCCAGTGGTTGGGAGGAGCAGGGAGAAGGCCTTTTGCTCGCATCCCAGGTGGTACCAGCCCCCCAGGGGATGGCTGGAGGAGTTCATAGGCTTTGTCTTTGGCAGGGATGGGACAATTGGAATAGTTAACCACAATAGAACTGAGGGGCTCTCCTTTTAAAAGCTCCGTATTTCTACCTATATTCAGGAAAAATTTGGATTTTGAGATGGGAAGGTCTGCCATTTTTCCTCCTTTGCAGGCAAAGTAAATCTCTTTCCTCCTCCCCAAAACACTTATCCTCGTTCTCCTGATTTGGGCTCGTGGACAAATGCCGAGTTTTCAGTAACATATCTACATCTAAGTGGCTTCCAGAAAAGAGCAGTTTTTCTTCTCAAATCCTTCAGTTGTTTCACAAATATTTGTTAAAACCTTACAGGCACAAGGCATTATGCCTGTCATTTAAGATGTGTGATGACCAATACATTTCTCTCCTATAGCAGAACAGCGTATAATAAAGCGAGAGCCATTTGTTTTCAAACATCTCAAAATGCTTTAGTCACGAAGGTCAGTCCTTTCCACACTATTTGGGTCAAAATAGCAAGCCTATGGAAAGTCCCCTTTATGACTTGCAAGTGGTCAAAACCCAAGACAAAGTACTTGCATCTTGGTGCTTTCTAAAGAAGAAAGGAAGAATGAAACTAAATCCTGTTTCCAGACTCAACAGGCCCTTCCTTCCAGCCCCAGAGAGGGTCCTCAGAGGAAGAGGAGGGCATGGAAGGCCTCTCCCTGCTCTAGCTGGAGCAGAGAGGAGAACCCAGCCCACCCCAGCCCAATCCAGCTAGGTCTTATTCACTCTGAAGAGGAAGCTGCCCTCAGGGAAATGAAAAGATCACTTCCAACACCATTTACTGCAAGAAAATGCCAGCCCAAAGCACAGCATTGGAGAGTCAACACCTTTGAGGCAAATGTGAATGCAACAATGCAGATGTAAAAAGAATTTATTGCACATGTTTTTAAATCATTCTCCATTATTTTCTAAAAATAAGAAAGGCTCTAAGGCACTAAGGCTCACATTTGACATGTAAAAAATAAAGAGGAAGAAGGGAAATCCACTAGTGTCACTAGTTTAAGGAACTATCCTTAAAATGAGACAATAAGCTACAGTACATGTATCTTCTAGTTAAATAAGAAAGCAAATTCACATTATTCAGAGTCCTGGGTCATAAAGAGCTCAAGTCAAATCTAGCCTGTGAGAAACAATCTGCCACACACCTCACACAGCTGCCCTCACGTGGACTTCCTCCCACAGCTAATTTAACTGAGAGATCGGGGCTAGGCGTCTCTCATTGTATAACCACAAACCTCTTTCTCTTGGTAATTCTCAACAAAGCAATTTTCCCAATAAAACAAATACTCTGTTCCCTCATGACAGGCAACTCTATATCCACAGACAACCCATACAGTCGCTAATATTCCTCCCAGCTCCCAAATGATCTCGCATTAAGCTTCCAACAGTTTATTTCCAAAGGAGAGTGGTTCTTCCTGTATCACAATCATCTGTAATAAGATACACAGTCAATATCTAAGGACACTGGGCAGTAAAGAGCTGATGTGTAATATCCACAGCAGATGTTAAACAGTCTTCATGATCTCTGATGGACGTTTACAAAAATATAAATGGGGTGACTATCAAAATGATAGTAGTATGTTCAAAACTCAAAGGGACTCCTGTTTCCAAAACAGATGTTCAGGAATCACAGAAATAAGGAGATGCAAAATAAGAAACATACATCTTCTTTATGTAGCTGTAGACATACACACAAATATATATACACACACATAAATCTATATCACAGTAACATTAGTTTGATATGCCTAAGGCTGGTTTGCTAAGATACCCAGGTGTCTTATACGGGTCATGGAAGTAGACACACAGCTATGCTGCTCAGGCCTTGTAAAGTGCTTTCTTTGTCCTCACAGCCCGGCTTAGAGGTAGAGCCGATATAATGGTGGGAGGGTGGAGGGGGATTTCAGTGAGTGACTGGTGCAATCTCCCTCACGGGGCTGCCTGCCTCTCCCTGCTCCAGCAGCACTTGCTAAGGGGACTCTGCCTAAAGGAGGCAGTGCACCACCCCCACCCTAAAGAGAAAGTGTCCACGTGGGGTGGCGGTGGCTGCTGCTTCAAGAATAGCAGTGACCTCACATGGTGTGGCGAGCCCACTGACTTCTGTTAAGACTGGACCCAGCTGGGGCAGCGCTTGGGAGCTGTTTCACTGGACATTGAGCCAGACTTTGTAACTGTGCAGAATCGGGAGAGAAAGGCCCAGTCTCCACCCCTCTGGTCATCGCCGGGTTCTTCTATATTGATCCACAGGATTTATTCAGTAAAACAGAAAGAATTCTCTTCATCTCCAAAACTCAATGGAGCACTACTTTCAGACACGGACCGACCTCCACCACTTCATTCTGTAAAGAAAACACAGGTGAACAGAAGTCACTAATTTTTAAAATCATGATTATTTTAAACATTTATGTTTTTATTTGATTTCGTTTGAATAAGTCTTAGATAAAATTAGAATGTTCGTGAATTCCTAACAGAGGACGTTTACTCTTCAGTACACACACACATACACACACACACACACACACACACACACACCTTGGAATACTTTTCAAAGGCAAATAACATGTATTATTTATTGCTTATTGCAAATGAGCAACACGATAAATATTCATGATAAACATTTTGATGTGGCTTTTGGATACTCAGAACATTTTAACATTCAGTTCTTTTTCACAATCTAACCATAAAAATACCTCTGAAGCTTTAGTTTTTTTTAAAACCTGTATGGTACACCATGAGAAATTCCGATGCAGTAAATGGTGCAGAGCCGGCCCCTGGCGGAGGTGCGCGTGCAAGACCCGCACTCACAGACACTGCGCAGCGAGAGCCCACGTCGCCCCAGCAGGGTTCTCGGCCTTGGCATGACTGGCATCTGGGGCTGGAGAATTCTTTGCGGCAGAGAACTGTGCTGTGCACATTGTAGGGTGTTTAGAGAAGTCCCTGGCTCATGCCCCCTAGATGCTAGTATCTCACATACACTTTCAGTTGTGACAACTAAAAATGTCTCCAGACATTGCCAATACCCCTGGGGGGCAAATCGCTCCGGGGTTGAGAACTAGCGCTCTACAGTTAAACTCTCCACTTTCCTGGAGAATCCATAAACGAAAATGGCGCTCCTTACACAGCAAGAAGCTTTCCGAGGACAGAACAGCCACGCTGCCCTATGCCAGCCCCACTCATCAGTCTACCCCAAAATGTGCCAACGAGAGTCACTGTTCTCACTGCCTGGAGCTGTTTCCTCTTCTCTCTCACAGAAATCCTGCTTTTGTCTTTTTTTTCCCAGTCTACTAGGCCTGACTCCTTCCCGTGTGAGGAAAGAGTACCAAGTAACCAATCTGTGTCCAAAATAACTCATGCTTCTGACTTATTCTTTGACATTAGTAAAACAGACTTCCCCATCTTACCTGGGCCCCACCTACCCATAAGGTGAAAACGATCAAAAACAGGGAAGGGTGAAGAGCGAGGAGTTTTCAAAATTCCTCTATAATTACATATTAAGGAAAGTTTTTATTTTTACAGTGAATTAAAATATGTCTGCAGTCAGGTCAAAATAATTACCATATTTCCAAATTAGAGAATCAGAAGCGTACACACACAAAACCTCTCAGAAATCCAAATTACAATCTAAATTAAGGTTCCGCCTCTAAAGTACACACATATGAACTCCCAATGGGCTGCAGGCTGGTATCAAGGGAATCCTTGGAATCTCTGAAACTGTACAGTTTTACGTAGTGAAGAGGGGTATGTGCATTTTATTTTCTGGGGAGAAGGGACACAGCTGTCTTCAAATCTCTAAGGGACATACGAACCAAACATACGTCATCATCTTAAGAATCTTTGCTCTTAGAAAGTTAAGAACATTATCACTGTGAGAAACTAGCTGCCCAGTAATCACGGGGATGGGAGGTTAAGCCCGCCAAGCCCACACTGATGTGTATGTGGAAACTGGCCTAAGAACCCACTCGGCCTCACTCGGCCTCTCCTGACACATGTCTTCCCCTGTTTGAGAGCTGGCTCTGGGCTCATCCCTCCCTCTGCTTGTCTGCTACGCGTCTCTCTTCCTTCCTCGCCTCCCTACTGGTCGCTGTCTACCCTTCCATTTGAGAGGGGGCTGAAACTCACATTCCTGAAAATATCAAATGGCTCAAATACTGCACATTCGTGCTGTGGCAAGTGGGACATGGGTCACAGAAAGCCCCCGGAGAAGAAACGTCTGAGAGAAAGAGGACAGTCCCCAGAAGAGCAGGGACTGTGCAACTCATGGCTGTATCCCCAGTGCCCGACACAGCGCCTGGCCCTGGGGAAGTGGCACTGAGGCTCTTTGGTGGAGCTCGGGGTCTTCTCAGAGCTCCTTGGGCCTCACAAGTGATGCCCTCTATCCTGCTCTGTATGGACATCTCAGTCTCATACCCTCTCAAACCTTTTCTCACCCTCCTCCCACCTCCCTTGCCTCCATTTGGAAGGACCTAGCACCGCAATTCATAGAGGGGCCTCAGAAATTCAAGACCAGTCACACCACAGCAGTGGCCCCAACCGGCATCGCACGCCTCGTCACACAGATGGTGGCTGAAGACTCGGGGGATTTCCCTTTCTTTTTAAAATTCCTGTAACAGGGGCATTATCTTTTCACCCCACACACATATGCTGTCTGCCTGGCCCACAGACACACTTTATTTATTCAGGATACTCTGTGAGAAAACTATTCATTTATGAGACTTTTCTAGTGAGCTAAAATTTGTGCTTCTGAATGTCATTCCTTTTATTCATTAGGGAAAAGAAAGCTTTAAGGACTGCTGCACATAGCTCTGTGCCTTCTTAGGCTGAGATTACTCTACTTTCTCTCCCATCATCAAGAAATGTCATAATAAACACCTCTTCTCGAACCAGGTAGCAACGCACGTGCTTTGCAATCCTCCGTTCCACTCTTTTGGTTCTAGACTGCTGCCACTGCACCTGCAGCTAACCACATCTTCTAATTTCCCTTCTTCATTCACTTAAGTGGTATTTACTGGTACCTACTAATGCGTGGAAAGTGTTTTTCTTGGACCGTGGATGACAGAATAAAACACCCAAGATCGTTGGCATCCTAGGCTAAACAAGAGCCAACATGCCTCCGAGTGACGTATCAGAAGTGAGAAATGAGAAGAGATCATAAGCAGAGGCAAATGCTCTGGTCTAGAAGCAATAGAAGGACATTTACAAAGTATGGAGCCATTTTGCCTTCCAATCTTCCTTTTTGTCAGGTTTTACACAGTGTTAAAAATTCTCAGAGTCTGAGGCCAGCACAGTGGCTCATGCCTGTCATTCTAGCACTGTGGGAGGGTGAGGTGGGAGGATTGCACGAGGCCAGGAGTTCAAGACCCTGTCTCTACAAAAAATAGAAAAATTATCCAGGCATGGTGGTGCACGCCTGTAGTCCCAGTTGCTCGGGAGGCTGAGGCAGAAGGATCGCTTGAGCCCGGGAGTTTGAGGTTGCTGTGAGCTACAATGACACCACTGCACTCCAGCCTGGGCAACAGAGTGAGATCCTATCTCAAAAAAAAAAAAAAAGTTCTCAGAATCTGACAAGTAGGGTGTTGGCCGTGTTCATTAAATAACATGTCAATTTCCTTGTTCTGTTTTCAGTGTTAAAAGTAAATGAGTAAATTTGTTTTAATTTTCTAGAGAAAGAAATCAATTTGCTTTATTATGCCCCTCCATCAATTTCTTAATGAATTCAGTGGCCTTCAGCAGAAAAACAAAAAGGTTCCCCATATGGAGATAATCTTTCAACAACCTTTATTTCAAATGCCTCAATACTTACTTCTCTTGTGGAACCATATAAAGGTTGCTAATGATGTTGCAAAAGAGAACACGGGGGCATAGAAGGTGGATGAACTACAACAAGGAAACATTTACCCTTCATCTTTATAGTTCAATTGTATTTTCCATGATTATTTTTTCTAATTACAATGTCCCCTTATAGAGGGTAGGGACTAGGAAACTCCACAGAGCACGGAACATCCCCGCACCGAAACAACATGGGCTGAGTGGACGAGTCAGTAGATGAATGATTTGACATCATACCATGTCACCGAGGTTGTCAAACTAAACCAGATCATCTGTCCCCAATCTGGTTCACTCATTTATCATCACAACTCTGACTTCTTTACTTGCTCTACTTACCGTACAGCAAGAGGGATGCTGGATCAAGCCCCAGACTCTCACAACCAGGTATGTTCTGATCATGGAAATCTTGTAGCAAAATGCCCAGCACCAACTCCTCACTCATCATATACTTCATAAAATTTTCATCATCTGATGGAACCCCAAACTGCAGGTGGTAGGTCACTGTGGTATTTTCACCACTAAAAGGCAAATCAGACAAGAAACAGAATCACACTGCAGCTTAGGAAATCAGTTTTAGCAATAACATTTTTTCAGTGCTGCATGTTCTTCCAGTACAGAGTAGCAAAGGGTATTCTGTCCTAGAAGAATGTGCTGTCCTAGGAGAATCCTAGGTCCATCACAAAAAGTTGAGGTGATCCTGACTTCCTCCTTCCATCTAGTGCCCACCCCCTCAGAGTCCACTGGGAGAGGACATCAAAGGGAGAGGCACAACCGAGCTGTGGTCAAGGAAGATGCCAGGGTTGACAGGTTGTCTGTCCCAACCTCAGCCTTTTTCCCCTAAGGTAAGCCCAGGAAGCCTGCTCTTTTCTCTTCATGCATTCCCTCTCCATGTTCTTCACGCTGACCCCGCGAATGCATGCCAGAGCTATTCAGTTTAACCAGCTCTTTATTCAAGCTATAAAAATGTTTTAGGCAGGGCCCAAAGCTCCCTGCCATTGCCTGGGTCCAGAACTTCTGAACTCTCACAGAGACTGCCCTGTGTCCTGCATGGAATCATAATTCTCTGGTTTGTCCGCCAAGTGAGAAACTTTTCCATCTCAACTCCGATTCCAGAGGCCCCTAAGGCAGGAGGACCAAGCTTTTAACTCTCAGTAATGGGATCTAAGAAAAATAAGTTTTTATCTTCCTAGGACATATTTTTCCCATTTCCAAAATAAAAATAATCATAGGGCTATCCTCAGTTAATTAGTAGCTTATGCTGCTCTTTAAATGTTATTTCAACACTTAGATTTTTCACAGTTATTCTATTACTTTGGTTCAAGATTAACCAAGATTAACCACCACTAAAAGGCAACTCAAACAAGAAACTGAATTACACTGCAACTTAGGAAATCAATTAAGATTAAGAACCAGCGATAAAATAATTAACAGGAGATGGTATCTGACACTATCACCCCAGAGAAGTTTCACAGATAAATGACTTAGGCCCCACAAAGGGTAGGCAGAGCACCCTCTTGTGGCCAGAGGTCACATAAGCCAATACTCTTGCATCTTACAAAGTGGCTGACGATTCAGTTTATAAACTCTACTACAACCAAGGAATGTGACAAACCCTGCGGATCACATGAATAATACAGTCAGGACTCTGGAGAAACTCATGGCTTCAGGGCTGCCACTATAGGCAGGTTGGAAATGCGCTTTCAAACTCCAATGGAGCGACCCTAGTTTGCAGGTGTCATTACTTGCTCTCTGAGCTCTGCCCTCTAATTACGGCTAATGAGGGTCAACACCTAGACAGGCAGCCACCCTGCATTCCCATGGGCAAGGACTGGGGCTGGCTAATGAAAAGGGCCAGAGGCTGCTTTCAGAAGACTGGGTCAGAAGCCGAAGGAGAATATCCAGCCCACTGAGGCCTGGCTGGTCCATTCACAGGGAAGCAGTGAATCCTGTGGCCTTTGCTCCAGCTGCCCACCCCCGGAGTGGGTCTACCAGCAGGTAACCCAGAGGGTGTTGTTCCAGATTCCTGTTCCAAGACTGAGGTCAGGATCCCCCTGCAGACACAAACGCACGTGCCAGGGGTTTGACTGTCTCCTGCCCGTGTGCGGCATCCTTTTGGAAGCAATGGCTTTTGTTTCTCTATTGAACATTTCAGAAACTCTGCCTGGACTTCTTCAAACAAAACAAAAATATTTTCCAGAGAGAATTTCTTTATCCAAAATACTAAAGTTCCTGGGTTTTTCTTTCAAATAACTTTTTTTTTTTCAATCTCTTAAAGATTCTTTTTTTTTTTATTTCAGCATATTATGGGGGTACAGATGTTTAGGTTACGTATGTTGCCCTTGCCCCCCATCAAATAACTTTTAAAAACAGATTGTCTAACATTAAATGTTGGCCAGATTTCTAGCCATGTTTTACTCAGGTTTCTGATGGGTTTTCCCCAATATCTCCCCCAACCCCTGTTATATAATCCCAGCTCCTCTGGACCCATAACATAGGGCTGGATTTTGGAAAGGCTCCAAAGGCTCTGAGGGGCCTTCCTCTCTCAACTCTGCCTTGGTCTTTGAATTGCAAGTTGAGGCAAGGGCATGCAGGAAAGCGTGTTGGGTCTGATCATGCATATCTCCCTTTTCTACCGGCATTTTAGCACCCATTGTTTATGCTTAAAATAAGCAATGTTGAAGATGTCACCATCAGGCAACATGGACACAGGGGATCTGTAAAGAAGGAAGATTGAGGTGGCTGGCTGCTTAAATGTCTGCAGATCTCAGGTCAGTTTGTGTCTGCCCTGTGGTGCTACCACCTGCTTTACACATTTCCCCTCCCAGGTCTGGTTATGGTTTGAGAGGGGAATCTCGATACGATATTGCTTTTGATGGTCACATTCCTCAAACATCTTAGGAACAGTAGATAATAAAGCTTTGGTGTAAATCTTACTTAAATCACCTCCAATAGTCCTAATGATATAAAAGGATAATAAACTGACTCCTCTACAGACACTCTGATGTCTACAGCCCAATAATATTAAAGATCAGGGGGAAATTTAAAAAAGAAAAAAATACATATGTGTGTGTATATATTACACATGTACATAGAAGAAATCACACCAAACAATTGATAGCTGTTAATTTTGTGGCAGGGCACCGAATTAGTTATGGGTGGTGGCAGTGGAGAAGAGAGGAGGCTGAAGGCAGACTTTTCCTACTGTGTATATCTTTATGTTTTTAATGTTAAGCAAGGAGAATGTAGTCCTGGATTATTTGTGCTCCTCAAAAGCAAAAGCCAGGACATAGATTATATCATTTCTATCATAGCACTATCTGAGATCTGTTTCCATTTCTACCTTTAGCTTATTTGAGCATCCATGGTTAAACATGGTTCACCAGGGACTGGCTTTTCCTCTCTACTGTGTGACCTTGGTTGAATCATACAATTAATCTGGGCTTCCTTTTTCTCATTTCTAAAATAAGGGAGTCGAGCCAGTTGGTCTCCAAAGACCCTCTGTCCCAGCGCCGACACTCCTGACTCTATGATTGGTGCCCTTCACGCTCTGAGGCTCAGGGAAACCTCCCAGGTAAATGGTGATGGGGTGGGGGTGGGGAGGGTCTCTTTCCAGAGAAGGAGATCAAAATGTAATGCTCCACTCTCTTACCTGAAATCCACCATTTCAACTGAAGTAAAATAACGACTCAGAGCCGGCGATGTACTGTACACATCTGTGAGCTGAAACAAACAAACAAACAGACAACCACACACATTACTGACAGATCATAGTGCACATTGCCTGACAAAGCAAAGCTTCTAGACAAAGGAGATTCCACTCTAGCTAGAAATTAACTTCTCTAGAGGCTCTGGACCAAGAAATAGGAAGGCTTGAGCCTACTATAAGCCAAAAACTCAAGTTAACACTAACTCAAAAGACCTGCATTTATGAGGACCAAGTGACTTGGCTGGGAATTTTCAACTTCTCGTGTAAGTCACACTGACACCTTGTGTGGCCTTAGTGGTGCGAGTGGTCGGCGGCTGGAGCCCACATGAAAAGACCACGAAGTGGCGGTGGGGGGACAGCACCACAGACCACCCAGCCCCTGAGCCACCACAGGCCAAAGGCTCCTCTCTTCCCTCTCCAGAGCTCCCTTGTAAGGACACACAGCCATGCTAAGCCGCAGGTCTAGCACTTCCCCTGGACAAAAGGACAAAGTGGGGAATTGCAAAGATATGGATGGAGGTTTTATTTTATGCATAAACTACCGCAAACATCACAAAAAATGACACCTGTGTTCCCACTGCCTCTGTTTCATGCCTTCACATTTTGCTATAATGAGCTTAGCCCTTTTTAAGAAACAAAGTAAAGCTAAAGTGATTCCTATACACACCGTTCAGTTTTTCCTCCCTTGTTCCCTCATGCTAGCCGTCACCCTGAAGCTGGCATGTATCCTTTCCTTGCATAATTTTATAAATTACTACTTCCTTATGTAGTCATAATATATAATTTAATTTGCATTTTTATTCAAATAAAAGTTACCATATTCCCCGTAATCTTCTAAGCCTTGCTTTTTTTTCACTCAAAATCACACTTGAGATTTACTCCTAAGGTTCATCTGGATAAAGGGCATCCATCGCTCTCCTGCATAGACTCCATTAAATGATTGTACAGACTTATCCCTCCCCTACTGATGAGCATGTGTGCTGTTTCCAATTTTCCCCTTTTACCCATGCGTAAATGATCATCTTTGAATGTCTCTGTGCATCTCTTCTTGTACCTGTAAGAGTTTCCCTTGGGTATACACAGAAATGGAAGTGCTGGGCCCAAGAGAAGGTGCATTTCCAACTTAACAAAGTTGTTCTCCCTTTTTCTCTCCCAGCAATGGCTATGTATTCCATTTCCCACATTCTTGCCAGCATTTAGGATTACCAGACTTAAATTTTTGCCAGTCTGAGGGTTATGAAATAATGTTTCAGATTGTTTTAATTTGTACTGCCTTGTCTACAAATGAAAGCATCTGTTGGTGTGTTTATTAACTGTTTGGGACTTCTCAACTCTGAACTGCCCATTAGTTTCCCTTCTTTCTCTTGGGTTATCTTTTTCTTAACTATCTGCCCTGGTTGGTTTTATATTCTGCATTCTAATTTGTTGGTATTGTGTTACACATATCTTTTCCCAGGCTTTGATTAGTCATGTTTCAGAGACAGGAATCCTAACCTAGTATGAGTACTCAAGAACATGTGGCTGAATGTATTTACATTGCATTTCTTTTAAATTTACATTTGAAGGTTAAATGCCTTGTTCTCTCTCAGATTGGTTCTAGCATAAAAGAAGAGGACTGCCCTAGTGCCCGTCAATCCATGAGTGGATTATCAAAATTTGGTATATGTTTACAATGGAATATTACTCAATCATAAGAAATGACAGTGATATAGCACCTCTTACACTTTCCTGGATTAAACTTAAGCCCACTATCCAAAGTGGGGCACCACAAGAGCAGAAGAACGGAATCTATTTGTACTCACCATCAAATTGGTATTAACTAATCAACACATAAATGCACATATAAGAACAACATCTATTGGATGTTGGGGAAGGGGGAGGGAGGCGGGAGGAGAGGGGAGGAGGGAGGAGGGGACGGGTATTTGTATACACAAGGAGTGCAATGCGCACTACCCGAAGGAAGGACATATGTGAAACACGGACTGGGGGAGGGGGAACCAAGGGCAACACATGTAACCTAAACATCTGTACCCCCATAATATGCTGAAATGAAAAAAAAAAAAGAAGAGGACTGCCCTGGGATCTGGTTATACTCCCCAGCATGGACCCAGCTCTGGGGCTGGAGTGAGCCAGGGCCAGGCATCAGAGAGCACTGCCAGACCCACCCCTGCCCAGCCTGAAGCCTCGGCCCTGACACTGTTCTGGAAATCCCACCAGCATCCAACAGTGTCCTTGTGCTGAGCCAGGCATGCCCAGCTACAGCCATTATGGCTTCATTAGTGCTCCATTACTTTACCCAATAACAAACGGAGGAACATACAAAAAACAGCAGTGCCCTATGGGGAGCTCACCTCATCTCCCACCCAACTCCAAATGGCATCTCAAGGAGGCTGCCCTTCCGCAACATGCTCCCACTTAGTCCCACGCAACCTCAAAGGCAGAGTGGAAACGATTAGAGTACCTGCTATTTGTGCTCCTCTAATCTTGTCGTAACTGTTGTAATCTTTGTGTGAACCCAACAAAACAGGCATTAATATTTCTCTCCCTTTTACTAATAACAAAAACAGTACTCCATTCCAAGAAGTTAAGAAACCAAGGTCACATAAAAAAATAAAAATAATAAAAATAAATAAATAAATTTTTTTGATATTTAAAAGAAGCATCATTCCTTCTAGATATTTTTGTCAAGAATAAATTATGTCCTTTTCATGTGGCAAAAAAAAAAAAAAAGAAACCAAGGTCACTCTGCTAGTAAATATTGAAGCCAAAATTCAACCCTAGATATTACAGACACTCCAACTCAGCTTATTCCCATTTTACCACGCTACCCACTGGATCCTCAAAGGCAGCCCCTCGACTGAATCCAGACTTCACAGGACAAATCCCTTTATTAAAAGGATTTGTTCTATAAAATTTGGATTCAGTCAGAAGGCTGCACTCAAGGATCTAGAAGGCCCCGTGTGGCTCTGAGGCTGCAGGTTCCCCACCGCAGGCTGATAGTCATTTTGAAAACTCAGCAACTAGAAAAACAGCTTTTACGGGGCTGCTCAGAATGATAGAGAGGAGAATGAGGATGCTATAGAGGGGAGTTTTTTTAAGCACTAAAAAAAAATAAAAATAATAATAAATAACAATAATGCATCTCTCTTCCTTTCGGATTGAGCTTCCTACGGCAGGGATGATGTCTACTCTTCCTTCCAATCTTCTCTGTTCCCTCCCTCCCTTCTCTCCTTTATTAACCTTTAGGGCCTAGCACTGGGTTTTGCACATAGTAGGCTACCAGAAAAATTTTTTTTTTTTTTTTTTTTTTTTGAGACAGAGTCTCACTGTGTTGCCCGGGCTAGAGTGCCATGGCGTCATCCTAGCTCACAGCAACCTCAAACTCCTGGGCTCAAGCAATCCTACTGTCTCAGCCTCCCAAGTAGCTGGGACTACAGGCATGCGCCACCATGCCCGGCTAATTTTTTCTATATATATTTTTAGCTGTCCAATTAATTTCTTTCTATTTTTGGTAGAGACAGGGTCTTGCTCTTGCTCAGGCTGGTCTCGAACTCCTGAGCTCAGAACGATCCGCCCGCCTCGGCCTCCCAGAGTGCTAGGATTACAGGCGTGAGCCACTGCTCCCGGCCCAGAAAAATTTTTAAGTTACAATTTTAAGTTAAGATATGGAGTGGTAGATGAGATCACTTTTAGTGTTCACTCTTAAGATTCTTTTTGGTGGCCTGACCCCCTGCTGTATCTAGGACATATTTGCCTTTTGGGAGCTGTTAGTTACACTGTCCACTTTGGGCCCAAAGAAGTGAAATAGGGGACTCCTCACCCCCTGCTCTGGTGTCTCCCACACTGTGCCTACAAGGCTTGATGCAAACTGAGCGAGGAGCCCAGTGAGCCCAGTAAGCTAATTAGAAACCAGCTTCCAGAATAAGAGAGGTGCTACCGTTAACTCCTAAACCATGCTCAGGGTGCAGTAGCACGCCACGCAATTTTACAGCTGGCTTAAGCAGAGTAATAGCCTCAGAGAAGAAAACTCTGGCCGTGAGATATGACAGGGGTAGGAAAACTGTTTAGAAAAACAAGGGAAAGGGCGTAAGGTTCCTATACTGTGACATAATAAAACTATATGTACTATTTATCCTCTGCCCCTGGTTCCTGGCACAGAACTCCTAAACCTCTTATTTCCTGAGTGATAGGAGTGCCGGGTGTACCTTTTATGCTAATATTTGGTCTTTGACTCCAGCTCTCCTGACACAGAGCTGCTCCTAAATCCCTTGGAACTTCTTGGGTGACAGGAGTGTCTTTTGTTCTAATGAGGTGACTCTTGGTGGGCTCCTGGATGGGGGCTGGTCACAGAAAGACCAAACCATGAGTAGAAGCTTGAAACTTTCAAGCCCAACCCCATCCTACAGGGAGCGGAGAAGCCAGACAATGAGTTAATAATCCATCATGCCTATGAGATGAAGCCTCCACAAAAATCCCTAAAAGACAGGGTCTGCTGAGCTTCCGGGCTGCTGAACACATCTCCATGCTGGGACGGTGGTGCACCTAGAGAGGTCGTGGACGCTCCAAGCTCCGCTGACACGCCTGCCCTGTGCCTCTTCATCTGGCTGCTCATCTGTGTCCTTTGTGACGTCCCTTATAATAAAACCATAATGTAAGTGCTTACCCGAGTTCTGTGAGCCATTCTAGCAAATAATCAAACCCAAGGAGGCTGTTATAGAAACCTCCAGTTAATAGCTGGTTGGTCAGAAGCACAGGTGACAACTCGGACTTGTGATTGGGATCTGAAGCGAGAGCAGTCTTGTGGGGCTGAGCCCTTGATCTGTGGGGTCCACACTGACTCCAGGTAGACGGTGTCAGAAATGAACTGAATTGTAGGACACCCAGCTGGTGTCAGAGAATTGGCTGGTGTCAGAAAAAACCCACACATTTGGTCACAGAAGTGTTGTGCATTGAGTGTGAATATAGAGAAAAGCAGTTTTTCCTATAAAAATACACATTCCCATTCACCTTCTATATCCAGAAACTTCTGGAACTTGACCTAATAGAGAAAAGGGATTATTAACCTGACAATATGACAATAAATTAAGTTGCTAATTTTTGTTCCTGAGCATATTTGGTTGGGGAATGAAGGGCAGCAGTGTTTCACCTCTCTGTGCCTTACTTTCATCATTTGTAAAAGAGATAACTCTAAAAAAAAGTTTTTCAAATGTCTTTATATGCAATCTTATTTGCGCCTGTGAGGTATATTGAAAAAGTATTGCAATTTCCACTTATCAGAGAGGCAACTGGCTCAAAGAGATCTGATCTGTGTACTTGCCCAGGTATCACTGCCAGGCCCTGTTCCTTTGCCACTACACAGGGAAGAGCTAAAAATACCTGGAGAATTTGCTCATGTCTAGCTCTATGCAAGAGATACAGTCCCAAAGTGAAAAATTAACATCCGTTTCCCTTTGATAGAGAGAGTCCAGTCTGTAACAAGGCACAGGTGATGCTGACTCATTTCATTTTTGCTCAGCAAATGCAAAACCTCTCCATTAAAAAAGCAACCAAGAGGAAAATAGCAAGAAGCGTCTCACTCAGCAACTTGCTCTGGGAAGTAAGTGGAAGGAAAGGAGGAAAAGGAACTACAGATAAGGTATAAACAAGGAAGAGGAGGAGAAAGAGAAGACTGGAGTAATCATCACAGGATACAAACTCCTGTGATAAAAGGAGCAATCAAACCTCGTGCATCTGGGCACTCAGAAACTGACTCTGACAGGCCCAGGATGGAATTGGCTCCTTCGGGAGCTTTTGTAGGAATCGAATGGATGTGAGACGAAGAGGGCTCACTTCATTCAACCGAGGAATGCCAGAGAAGTCTGGTGGATGGCAGGCTGGTCTCATTCAGATCTTGTTATCAAAAAACCTCTCGGGTCTGGCTGTGAACCATCCTGCCTTTGAGAGGACGACCAGGACTGCCCCAGCAACCCTCACGGTCTGGCTGCAGAGCTCCCTTGCTGCACGGGGGTTCACTCCCCTGCGTTTCCCACTCCACGAATGATGCTGCCCTCCACCTGCCCAGTCGCTCAACCGGAAGCCTGCACACGGGCTCTCCCTTATCACCATCCCACCAGTCACTGAGTCCTGCTGAGGGAGAAAACCTCTTAAATCTCACTCAAGCCCTTCATCTGAGCCCTGACACTGCCCTGGCTCAAGCCTCCCTCATTTCTCACCTGGGCCTTCTAACCGATCTCTTCTTCAGTCTTTTTCCACCATCACCCAGAAAGGCTAAAATGAAAATCTCTGACCATGTCAATCTGCTGATTAAAATCTTTCGATCCTAACCAAAGAGTGGAAAAACCACACAGCATGCGAAGGCCACTGCATTCTACTGTGCAGATCCCCGGATGTCACATGCTCTTTTACCCAGAAAACTCTTTTCAAAATTCGTCCTGAGTATTGCCTCCACCCCCACCTCAGGTAGCTTAGATGGCCATCCTTTGCAGTTGTGAGACACCCTGTACATATCTCAGTAACAGGACGTATCATATTGTTTTATAACTATGTTTGCAATTACTGGCTCTACTTGGACCGTGAGCGCGCTGAGGGAACAGAGCATGCGGCCCTGACACTTGGCCTGTTGTCTGCCACGTCATAGCGACCCTCACAGTGAATACTGTAGGTCGAATCAACTAGAAGGCCAGAGTGAGTAAACAGAACACTGTCCTCTAGGATATACACAGCAAGAACCCAGGGCTCTTTCCTCTGGCTTTGCACTCTGGAAAATACATTCACAAGCACTATTTTCTGCTAAAATCCACATAAAGAATCCAAGATTGAAGCCACTTACTCTATAGCTCTATGTCAATTATCCTAGCAAAGCTCATATTCTAATGTTAAGAACTCAGTAAACAATGCTTTAGACATAATTACCCTTTTTGTGAGCAGGTGAGGCAACTCCTCTTCAGTAACACACTCCTCTGGAATCTTAAGCATGACCAAGAACGTTTTATTTGATGATAATTCAAGTATTTCATTCTCATCTTCATCAACATAAATTACTGAAGAGAGTGGGGAGGTGAAAATAAAAAACAAAAGTAAACACCTGCATAAAATAATACGTTTATTTATTTCACTGACTGCTGTATCTAAACATAACAATGAGCACTCATCAAGGATAAAGGTTGGGCACAGCAAGCAAGTATAAGCAGAAATGCTTCCTCTGCTCAGTAAAAGCAAGTAAAAGACAGGGCCTTGCCTCCATCATGGTAAAAGTTTTGTTGGTTTTATGCCAAATGGGTCTCAGATTCCATCCACCCAGTACAAACTAGGGGAAGGGCTGGAGGGAGGGAGTGTGAAGATATGAACTTCACTGTTAAACTGAACCTGCTTAGCTAGGTACATGGGTGTCAAGGCAGGAGCTGGGAGACAGTGGGGCGGATGAACAATGGGGGACAGGGGACAGGGGGCGAGCAACTTCCTTGCATCACCTTCCAGTTCTGTGCTATCAAAGACCACAATGAGGAAGTGATGTCATCGACCGGAACAGAGGTGGGACTAGAACATGAGCGTGTGAGCCCACATCTTCATGTCTCCCAGTAAGGCAGGGAACAGGCATGAAGTCATCTCCTCTAGACTATGTCCCACAGGAAAGGGATGTTGACACACACTGTTTGCAGAAGGGAAGCCAAACTGCACTCAGAGCCCCGGGCGCGCAGGAATTATGACCCTGGAACAATGAGTTCCGTGTTGCTGCTTGTGTTCTAATGACTGCTAGCTAATTGATTTCTAAGCAGTTAGAGCTAAAGGAAAACCACACAAAGCCAGGAGCCAGAAGCCAGAAGTTGGCACTAGAATGCTAATTATGCTCCCTGGCTCCACTCCAGCCTCACGCGGCCCCACAGAGGGGACCTCTCTGGCCCTGAGAAAGGCGTGGGTGGGAAGCACCAGGTGCTTGTGTTGCCATAGACGTTTCCCTCAAATCCAATGCTTCAGACATAACATCATCAGCCTCGTTTACTGGACTTTGAAAAGGCCATAGTGGAATAAATTAAGTGTTCATGATGAAAGGTCAGGTAAGAAGTAGTAAGAATCCTGGTGCTTATTCCCTGAGGAAATCTGGACATGTGAAGTGTTCGGGACAAGGAATGTGCAGAAAAGAGTTAATTCAGCAGGCCTGAGACTGCTAGCATTGGAAGGGCCTGCTCAAAGCGGGCCGCTGGCTAGCATCTGGGAACTTGGATTCTGGGAGCATTTCCACCATTCCCTGATAAGGGTGATTCATGTGCCTCAACTGTTTGGACAAACAATGTGACTAACATCTCCTTTCCTGCTGGGAGGCTGGATTTTTGGTACATGCTAAGCAAAGGCTGTGTATATGGCCAACCCCCAATAAAAACCTTGGGTACTGAAACTCTAATGGGCTTCTCTGGTCGATGACATTTCACATGTGCTGTCACAGCTAATTGCTTGAGGAATTAAGTGAAGCCTGTGCAGCTCCACTGGGGGAGGACTCCTGAAAGCTTGCTCCTACTTTCCTCTGGATTTGCTCTATTCAATCCTTTTATGTAATGTATCCCTTCGCTGTAATAAATCACAGTCACCAGCACAACTACATGCTGAGTCCTATAAGTCTTCCTCGCAAATCATGGAATCTGGGAGTGATCTTGGGGACCCCCAAACACAGGAAATTATCTCTGCATCCTTATTTGCTGTAAGCCATTACATTATTTTTCCTAATGATAAAAGTTATGCCTTCATAGCAGAAAACTTGCAAAGTATAGAAAATTAGAACAAAGCCTTACTCAAGAGGCTACCCCCATATTTTATATTATATATTTGAGGTCTTAATGAACAGGTAATTAATATTCTGCTTTTTGCTGATTGTTGCTATTGTTACTTACTTATTTTGATTCTTTTGTTGTTAACATATCAAAAGCTATTCCCCATGTGCTTGAAATTCCTTTCAAAGATTATTTTAATGGCTCCATAATGTTCACAATAGGCTCACCTATTTTCTTAAATATGATATTTATCATTTTCAGCTTTTCACTTCTATCAGTAATGTTGCAATGGATGTCATTGAGCTCTACACCACCATGTAGATTTCCACAATGGATATCGATGCCTCAGAAAGGAATAGGAAATGCCAGAGGATAACACAGGATGCAAACAATTGCTAAACTCAAGGGCACTGAAAAGAGATGCCAAGTTTGAAAAGAAGTCTCCAATAACAGCTCTATGACATACACTTAACTTGTATCACCCAAATAACGAATCTGTACAAAGACCTTGACAAATAGTTGTGTTTGTCAAAATAATAACAGCAGCAGCAGGCTTACCCAGTCAGGAGAATTTTTATGTCACCAATGAGACAATCTGAGCAGCAGCAGAAAATGCGATTTTTTTTAAAAAAAAATCACAAAAACATATACAGTACGTTGAAGGAAAATGAAAACACCTCTTTGGCTGGAATATAAAAAATGAAGCTGGAGAAGGAGGCCTTAAATGCCAGATGGCTTCAGAGGGTAACAGAGGGTTGTTAAATGTGTCCCACGCAGACAGCAGAGGCTGGCATTTATGGGAGGTTAATCTGGTGGTCATGGATGGGGTGAAATGGAACCCACAGAGAATGAAAGCAGAGAGGCCACAGGCACAAGATTGGGAGAGATCGATTTTCACTGACAGCAGTGGGAACAGGAAGGAAAAAAATAAATGGGAAAGTTCAAGACAGTGGGAACAGAGCTGGATTTAAAGCTAGCCAGACTCAGTTTGAACCCCTTATTAGCCATGTGACTTTGAGCAAGTCATTTAAATCTCTGAAGCTGTTTCTTCAACAGAAATATCAACACCTACATTGCAGATGATGGTAAAGACGAGAACCAACATGCATAAAGTACCCAGCATGGTATCTGTAGTAAGTGGGAAAGTTGCTATCAAAACTCTACCAAGGAATGACTGGTGAGAGTTAGTCTTATCTAGACATGGGAGAGAAGGAAAAAATCAAAAATGCTTCCAAGATATCAAACCTGGGTAACAAGAAGGATAATAGCTACTGTATTAAGCATTATGTACAAACATTCTGCTATGCACTTACCTCATGCAATCCTCCAATCAACCCAGTGAGTTAAATATTATTGTTTTCATTTAAAATAAAGGCACTGAGGCTTAGAGAAAATGCTTAATTTGTTCAGGTCAATGAGCTACTGTGAATCAGGGTCAAGGTTCATTTATATGCTCAGATTCAGAAATCATTTATATTTTACAAATGTGAAAACAAGTCCAGAGGGTCGAAAAGGTTACTTAAAGTTACACAGCTGGATACTAGCAGAACCGAAATAAACTGGTCTTATACACAGGGTGAGTGAATTGGGGAAAGGGTGTCCAAATTGGGAAAGGGATATGCTATATTCTGAATGTTTATGCCCCCACCCCCCAAAAATACGTATGTTGAAACCGAATCACTAATGTGATGGTAATAGGAGGTGGGGGCTTCTGGGAGGTGATTAGATCATGAGGGTAGAGCCCTCGTGAATGGGATTCATGTCCTTATGAAAGAGGCACCAGAGAGCCACCTTGCCCCTTCCACCATGTAAGGACAGAGCTGGAACATGCCATCTATGAACAAGAAAGTGGGCCCCACCAGACACAAATGTGCTGATGCCTTGATCTTGGACTTCCCAGCCTCCGGATGGTGAGCAATAAATTTCTATTGTTTATCAGCCGCCCAGATTATGGTATTTTGCTATAGCAGCCTGAGCAGACTTAGACAGGATGCAAATGAATAAAAGTTTACGCGGATAATGATAGAAATGATGAGTTATTTCTAGGTAGAGATTAAAACTCAGGAAAATGATACAGATGCAGATCTAGGAATCACCTTCTAGAGGGCTTGGCTGCTGCCCTGGGAGTGAACGAGCGCTCTTCCGGAAAGAATGAAAAATGGGAAGAGTAAGAAAGCTCATGGACACGTGAGGCCACAATGCAGAGGCCAAAAGCAAAAACAGCAAAAAAGACCTAAAGTCCAGGAGTTCTGTAGACTGAGAAGAGTGTAGCTCAGTTGACAGAACTGAAGGCTGCAAACAGGGCAGGAGATGGAAGAAAGGCTGGATTTCAAGAACAGGCAATTGCTAGAAACCTTAGGAAGAACAATTTGAGACCAGTGGATACAAGAGGTTTAGGAGTAGTCTGGAGGCCAGACCCAAATGTAGCCCTTTCTTTCTGGAAGTTTGCCAGTGAAAGAAGAGAGAGAAAAATTATCTAAAGGAAGTAGCAAGAATCCTAATGGAAGATTGTTTTGAAAGAGAGACGATGATAGCACATTTGAAGAATTGACAAGAAACTGAGGATGCTTAGAGAAAGGAGAAGATATCTGAAGGTCTCTGGGTCAGAAGAAGCTGAAGGGTCTTCTGCAGAGAGTACAGTTAAGGAGTCAGTCTTAGTAAGGTGGAAAACATCTGAGATTGGAAGGAAAGATGAACAGGTGAAAACAAAGAAATTTCAAGGTACTGCATCAGAGTTACTATATTGCTGCCCCAAGTACCTTGGTAGCTTACAGCTTGTTAATGTTGCCTGTTCAGGACTTTTCCACTAGTCACCCTACACCAGGGAGCATTACCCTGTGCAAACTGTCAGTCTGCCAGGACCACGTGACACCACAAGAAGTAGCTCTATTCACAACGGAAAGGCAAAACAAATCCATTCAACACAGTGTCACTTAGAAGTCCCCGCTTATATCTTGGTACCACAGCATTCCTACTCATGGGAGGGCCTGTAAATTAAGAGATTAAAAGGATCTGGCAGGAATTTGGGGGATATCCTGCTGGGGGATATCACATAGGGTCCCCAGAGTGTCGTAACTTTAAATCCTATTTCAAAGCATTTACCTACTCGTCACACTTTGGTTTCTGCAACATTCAGAATATTTTGCCCAAACTGAAGAAGAGATTCATCCATAAGGTGTTATTCAGGTCTCTCCCCTCCCTGACTGGAGTGAATTAGTGAAGAAAGGAGAACACTTGAGGATGCATAACTGGCTCTCCAAATTGTCCATAAAGAAAACAACTTTGAGAAAAAGAGGAAGGCTTTCTTTTTCCTTTACCCTTCATGCCAAGGAGTTTATGTTCCTTAGGGAAAAGGAGAGAATCCATTAACATCTTTTCCCTAAAGAGCTAGGACAAAACCAGGCCTCCAGACAACAGGATTCCCTGGACTTTGCCCATAAAACTGGACATTTAAAAAACATTTCAATGTTGACTGTTAGTCTGGTGGAGTGCTAGTCTCTTCACATATAAAGCGCCCACTCAATGCCTTAAACTGAACCATGATCCTGAATTTGTCATCACCTCAACGGCATAACGAGGGCAGAGTGGTGGGAAAGCCCACCCCAGGTTCAGAGAATAAGGAGTGTGCACTCCAGAAAATTAGCAACAATAATAAGACCAACTACAAGTTGGCCTGCTTTTATTATCATTGTATGCTGACAATTCTTAACAATGTCAGTGATAAAATATACCTCCCCAGTGTGCAAGATGCCCTGGAGATCCTGTTGTCCCCCCGCACTAGTTTCTCTTTCTGTTTTGAGATGCATTTACTGTTCAGTTTTGTGTCCACCCCAGCTGCACAGGTCTTAACACCTCTTCCTCCAAGACTCAGTCTGGAGACTGCAGAGCCTTGAGACAGGAGATTGAGGGGTTTAGAGGAGGGAAAGCAGGCAGCGAATGGCAAATGTAGTTCCTGAGGAACCTTAGTCTCCCAATGAATGGAGGCAGCCACAAGTACTGCCCTTGACTCTCCGGACTCCCCTTTTCCCAGATAACAACATTTTCCACGTAGTACCGGAAGGTTCTACAAATATTTGATTCATAGCAACAGGCTTGGCAATTAGGCAGTGCCTGATTATTTCAGATTGTGCTCCTAGAAGTGCCTACAGAGCTGCTCTGCCCCACCCCTTCTGACCTAGTTCTCCCTACTCCCACATCTGCCATGACTCTCCCTGCAGGCCCAAACACCCGAGGGCTGAGATGCCAAGTAAAATAAAAGCATTTCCGTAATTAAAAAAAAAAGTTTGAAAAGTCTCTCTTACAGCATTAACATATGTCAAAACACAAATTTACAATCAAACTAAAAATGAATTTTGCACAAAAAATGTTAAAAAATGCTTCCCTGAATATTATCCTATAACCTGCATGTCTCCAGAAAAACTTAACATAAATAGAATACCTTCCTCTGCATGTTGCTCTTTGTGAGTTGAAGAGGTCGGATGACTTTTTGCCAATGAAAGACAGATCCTGAATACAAATCACCTAGACATGTTGCATCATCCTTTGTGAGAGGCCCAAATGCCAACAGACAAATCAGTCAACTTTCAGGATAGAGCCAACTAGCTGTGATAGGACAAGAGCTTGTGGCTCAACCCCAGTTTCAACATCCACATGCTGGAGCTGATGTGAAGAGGCAGTATCAATGCTCGCACCAAAACTACGGTCCTCAGCACAATGGAGGAGGTGCAACATGTCTTATTAGCTTCTTCCTACCTTAAAACCAGCTTATGGACTCAAAGACTCACCTAACCCACCTAAACAATGCCCTAAGTGCAGACATGGTACCTGCCTGAGAAACTCACAGTCTGGAGGTTGGCTGATGTTATCAAAGTTTTCCTGTGCATTCAGGGACTACAAAAACCTTAAGACAGAAGATTAAGGCATTGGGAGAAGGGGGAACAGGAGGTGAATGACAAATGTACTTGCTGAGGAAAATTCCTAAGAATTCCCTCTGGAGAGACACAGGGAGCCCCCGCCTTGCCCTCATTCTGTGACTGGTTTAGTCACTGACAGCCCGACTCCACCCAAATCCTCATGGAGACCTGATCAAGCTCAGGAATATTCTAGCTCCAGACAAACCCCTTTCTACTAACACCCCCACGTACAAATAAAAACAATTTTCTTCTTTCCTATTTTGAAATTGAAATGACTGCCCACTGGAGGGTGCTCTATTTATGTATTGTAAAAACTTTAATACTGATAATCATTTAAAAATTGGTAACTACCTAAAAGGCTTTAAAATGATGTAGAAGACTGCATCGTGCAAT